GTTACCATCTTAACAGCCTCTGTTTGTATACACAGTTTTTCAATAGCGATCAATGAAAATTCCGCCTGCATGTAAAAGGATCCTTTTATTGTTGTGCTTCTCAGCAGTCAGCAGTCCTTGGTTCATGTCTAATGAACTGTGAGGCACAGTTTCACTGCCCTATTAAGGTCACTGCCTTCAGCTAAGTGTGTTTTAGATCAGAGATACTCTGAAGTTCCAGCAACTGTAGAGTGTATTATTTTCCACTAATAAAGTCTTTGCATCCCATGCATTAGATCCCATGGTTTCTGTAGTGAGAAGTTTAACATCAGCTTTTTGTTTTTAATGCATCGAATGTATGTATGTGATTTCCCAAGAGAACTCCGAGTTCTTGACCTCTGTGTTTAACATTAAAATCACATAACAATATCTTACTTTTGACATGATCTGTTTTGATATTGATACAATGAACTGATATTCAATTAATTGTAGTCAAATATTTAATTAAACTTCATTTTAATTAATTATTTCAAAATGTAATTCAGTATTGTAATTCAATTCACTTGAGTAAAAATATTTTAATTCAGTTAAATAATTATTAGTTTATAATTTATTTGACTTTAATATACTGTGTCCTACATTTTGTGTACATCCCTGAAAGTCTAACATTTTAAGCCTTTCTGCATGGTTCGAAGAAAACTTATTACTTAATTTTGACTATTACTTGTTGTTTTTATTGCGTTTAATTCATTCGTCAAGCTCAGTTATTCAACCCGTTACCCAAGTTACTGTATAAAGACAACATTTTACTCATTCCGACACTGTGTTGTGGTTTTTGTTTGTTTAACATTTATTACTAAAAATTACAAAACCACACATATCTGGTTTAATATAATATTAAGGATTTTATATTATTGTATTATTTATTTAATTTATTTACTTATTAGGTTAAGCACCTCTTTTCACTCTTCATTTGTTAAAAAAAAGGGGAAAAAATACTATTTTAAGAGTTTCAGGCCCTACTTCGTACCCTATTTGTAGAAAGTACCTTTGACATCTGGCATGATTAGGCCAGAGAGAAAGAGGAAGTGTGGGTTTCCCATAGTAACTGTTGCAGGGGAAGTGATGCATCTACTGCGTAAAAATGTGAGCTCTTACTGTTAAAAACGAGAACTAGTATTGAGCCATAGTCATTTACATGAAACCAGAAAATTTCACTCTGAATTTGACCTCAATTTAATTTTCTAAAACAATCTTCAGTTGTGTTGTGCTAATTCAGAAAGCAAGTCCTTGAACATTTGAACATGTGCTTTTTGTAGGCCTCACACTCTGGAGGTGCATGTGCACTACTGTAGTCTGTACAGTGCCACCTGTTGGTTGCCTTGGAGAAAAGCATGAGGAGATTGATTCATGTAGTTTTACTTGACAAGAGGTGGATACTCACCCATAACAGTATTTGTTTGTTTGTTTCTATTTATTAATATTGTTTTTAATAATTTTTTACTTGTGTATTCTATTTATTTTAAAGGGTTAGTTCACCCAAAAATGAAAATTCTGTCATTAATTACTCACCCTCATTTCGCTCCAAACCTGTAAGTCCTTTATTTATCTTCGGAACACAAATTAAGAACATAATCAGTGTCGTTTATGTTCAGGATAAAGCGTGCGCTGTTTAAACAACGCTGATTACGTTCTTGCCCTGTTGAAAAAAACAGCATATGCTGGTTAGGTATGTTTTGATGCTGGGATGCTGGTTTAAGCTGGTCCTTTGCCAGCACATGACCAGCATAAACCAGCAAACGGACCAGCATAAACCAGCAAATGACCAGCTTAAACCAGCAAAAGACCAGTTTAAACCAGCAAAGGACCAGCTTAGACCAGCAAACGGACCAGCATAAACCAGCAAATGACCAGCTTAAACCAGCAAAAGACCAGTTTAAACCAGCAAAGGACCAGCTTAGACCAGCAAACGGACCAGCATAAACCAGCAAATGACCAGCTTAAACCAGCAAAAGACCAGTTTAAACCAGCAAAGGACCAGCTTAAACCAGCAAATGACCAGCTTAAACCAGCATCCCAGCGTCAAAACATACCTAACCAGCATATGCTGGTTTTTTTCAACAGGGAGGGTACTCTCCAAAATGGCAGAAGACGGTAACTCAGGGAGACGAATTGTTGAATAAATTATGTTATTATTGTTTTCTTTGTGCACATAAACTATTCTCGCTGATTCGTAAAATTACGTTTGAACCACTGATGTCACATGGACTATTTTACCGATGTCCTTGCTATGTTTCTGTGCCTTGACCGTGGTAATATCCTTGCTGTCTATGGAGGGTCAGACAGCTCTCAGATTTCATCAAAAAGATCTTAATTTGTGTTCAGAAGATGAACGAAGGTCTTACGGGTTTGGAACGACATGAGGGTGAGTAATTAATGACAGAATATTCATTTTTGGGTGAACTAAACCATATGTGTATGTTGTTACCAGAATTATCGCATAGTTCATATTTAAAGGCATAGTTCACCCAAAAAGGAAAATTCTGTCATCCTTTACTCACCGCAAGTTGTTCCAAACCTGCATAAGTTTCTTTCTTCTCTTTTAAGATATTTTGAAAAATGTTGGTAACCAAACAGTTGACGGTAGCCATGGACTTCCATAGTATGAAAAAAATTATAATACTATGGAAGTCAATGGTTACCGCCAACTGAATTTTCATTTTTGGGTGAACTCTTTATTTGACTATTTAACAGCTTGTTGCACTATTGTGGATGTGTGTGCATATATTGATGATAAGAGATGGCACAGTCTAGCCAGGCTTATGAGTTTTTGTATACATGATTTTTATAGATGCAACAGAAGCACTAAAACCTAAAAGGCTACATTTATGAGATTACACTGAGAATCAGCTGCGGTGACACAGCACAGATGGCTTCACTTTTAATGGCTTTTAATGGGGTTTAACCCCAGCAAACTCCATGACCTGGCAGTCCTCTGCAGGGTGCAGAGAGATGTTAACAGCTGATGTCCAGCAGTAAGAGCCTGAGAGCTGACCGGTCACATTCTGAAGCAATGTAGAAGGCTACTAACCGGTGTTCCATCTCAAGGGCCCAAAAATGGGTGGTGAAATAAGATTTTTTATTCCCAATACATGACCAAAAGCACCATTTTAAGCACAATATTAAAAGGAAACTTCATTATCTTTATAATTTGTAAATGAGTTCATATATGCAAAGCAAAACCTTATTTAAATTAAACAGTGTAAATGCCAAAATGTATTTAAATTTAAACTCTGAATTTCCCTCTAGCCAAAACTATAAAATAAAATGTTACTGTATTATGTGTTTCCGTCACATAACCAATGGGTAGCTGCAGCTCTGTTTCATATGTCTTACTAGTTTCTTTATGAAGCAGCTCTGGAAATACTCATTCAGATAGATATCCTGCTTTTTTTGTGCTTGTGTTGGCAGAGGAGGGCAGAGGTCATCCGAGGGTCAAACTTTCTAAAGTGACATCAAGCAAGGGAATAATCAAGATAAATTCCGTTTTTTGGAAAAAACTGACTGACTGTGCAACTTTAAGTTCCTCAGGTCCGCATTAATTATGACACAGAAAGCTGACATAAAATGCAAAACATGAAAACAAGTAAATGCTGTACACACGCAATGGCTCAGTGTGCTTTGTGTGTTGTGTCAACATATACACGTTGTGATTGTAGTAAGAGGCTCATGCATGCAAACGGGAGGCTTTTTAGGTCTGTAAAAAATTATCTAGAGCAGGGCTGTCCAAACTCAGTCCTGGAGGGCCAGTGTCCTGAAGAGTTTAGCTCCAACCCCAATTAAACACACCTGAACCAGCTAATCAAGCTCTTATAGGCATACTAGAAACTTGAAGGCAGGTGTGTTGAGGCAAGTTGGAGCACCGGCCATCTAGGACTGAGTTTGGGCACCCCCGATCTAGAGTTTAAAAACCATCCTTACACCATCCGCTTGACTAGAAAATATATGTTACTCCATATAATACAATTAAATTTTTTATATATGTATTTTATATATTATTAAATTAATAATTTAATAATCACTTTAAATAGTATCTTCCAGTTCATTTGTTCCTTCTAACACCCCATTTACACCTGGTTTTACACTTGGGTCCATATGAGGGGATGCAATATGAGGTAAACATTTCAAGCCCTTCCAAAATTAATCTACTAGTGGTTACTTATCTACTAATATAGTAAAATACTATATTTCAATTATTTATATTTTGCATGAAAACAAATTAATTTAGTTACAGTACAATGGGAAGATTTCCCCCCCCTAATACTGTAGTTAAGGGGTGTCCAATCCTGCTCCTGGAGGGCCAATATCCTGCAGAGTTTAGTTCCAAATAACTCCCTTACACACTTAACAATAATACACTTGCCTGGAAGTTTCGTGTGAGTCTGAAGACCTTGAGTTTGGTCCATGTGTATTTAATTAGTGTTGGAGCTTAACTCTTCAGGACAGTGGCCCTCCAAGAACAGGTTTGTACTGCATACCAACAGTGGCTCTGTGACAATAACCAGCCAATCTCTGAAACACTTTGTTTCAGTGTTGATTTTGGTACAAAACCAGAAATGCTCCCTTGAAATCCGACTTGTACCTCGGTCCACCAAGGAGACACATCTGAGACTCACGTTACAGGTGTACACATTGATACTTCTTGGCTGACTACTTGTGTTTGGTATCACAAGAGAAGGATCTCAGTCTCAGTTGTAAACGACACTCCTGTGTGCTGGCACGGTTCTGTGTTGCGACGCCCATTATTTATTTAGTAAACTACTGCCCTCTAGTGTAAGAAAACCTACGGTGTTACAGTCTACTTATCCCTCCAGAACCTAATTGGAGTGAAAACACTTTTAATATTTAATAAAGAACTAGATTTGGAACAATATAGTTTGCACACACTTCTCCTGTGAGTCGTCACAAAATTGTAAATCATTAAATGAAAATTAAAAAATAATAATAACCGATTACATAAATTAAAGTTTTTAATAATATGTGTCTTTATTATTGTTTGGTAGTGTACATTTCAGAATTGTGCTGTATCACTTGACATACTTATATTTGACCGTTGAGTAGCATATGAATTAGGCTTCATTCATTCATTCCTTCATTCATTCTGACTTTCTGAATGGCTCAGCACTGAAATGTCATTTAAAACTGTTGGTGACTGACTGACCTGACCCATACAGTTACAGTGAGACAGAACATCAAAAACCTCACAAATAAACAACAATGGTAACATTCATTTCACAGCTCACAGATTAACAAAATATTGAAGAGAAGGGGTGTAGAAGAAAAAGAAAAATAGTATAACCAGCTTGGTTACTCCAAATCCTATTTGAGCGGTTACAGAGATCAAAAATCTAGACTGGTAAACTGGTAAAAGTAGTAGGAGGGTGACCAGACCATGAACTGTTAAAGTGTTATTTTTAGCAAGGTACTTACAGTATTTATAATAACCTCACACATATGTCATTGCAGGTTTCTTTTTTCTCCTATGCGATTCAGTTTTTGCGAAGATGGACAGCATGAAATTTGCACACTCATTAGGATGGAAAGTAGAGGGCACAATGAGATACTCTCCTGGTTCAAGCTTGAAGAATTTCATCACATGTCTTGTATTGATGAAGTTCCCACTATCTTCCACAGATTGTCTGCGGTAAAATAACTTGGTAGAGAACTTCTCATCTTTCATCTAAAGTAGAATTAAATATTATCAGTTTATTTTATACATATCAAGTAATTTATTTATTGACAAAGACACATGTGGTTATAGTGTTTTTACGATTGAGCTTGAATTGTATTTTACTTGCCTCTGGTGGAATCTGTTAAAGTAGAAAAACATGGAACACACCATTAATAAATGGAAATTACTGGAATTACTGCATTCAGTGAGATTTTCTGTGAGTCTAGTAGAGTTATTGTTCATACTGACCAGATAAACATTGAAGCCAATGGATCACAGCTCACAGATTAACAAAATATTGAAGAGAAGGGGTGTAGAAGAAAAAGAAAAATAGTATAACCAGCTTGGTTACTCCAAATCCTATTTGAGCGGTTACAGAGATCAAAAATCTAGACTGGTAAACTGGTAAAAGTAGTAGGAGGGTGACCAGACCATGAACTGTTAAAGTGTTATTTTTAGCAAGGTACTTACAGTATTTATAATAACCTCACACATATGTCATTGCAGGTTTCTTTTTTCTCCTATGCGATTCAGTTTTTGCGAAGATGGACAGCATGAAATTTGCACACTCATTAGGATGGAAAGTAGAGGGCACAATGAGATACTCTCCTGGTTCAAGCTTGAAGAATTTCATCACATGTCTTGTATTGATGAAGTTCCCACTATCTTCCACAGAATGTCTGCGGTAAAATAACTTGGTAGAGAACTTCTCATCTTTCATCTAAAGTAGAATTAAATATTATCAGTTTATTTTATACATATCAAGTAATTTATTTATTGACAAAGACACATGTGGTTATAGTGTTTTTACGATTGAGCTTGAATTGTACTTTACTTGCCTCTGGTGGAATCTAAGTAGAAAAACATGGAACACACCATTAATAAGGTATGTGGAAAATAATGTGTTTTTTAACCTTAAACCGCATAAACACATTTCATTACACCAAATACACAAAATAATGTTCTTTTTTAGCAACGTCATATGACCCCTTTAATCAAAAGCCAAAGAAAACAAACAAGATTTGAAAACAGATTTAAAACTGGCTAGCGAAGGAGCAAATGTCACATTTTACAGGCAAACTATTCCAAAGTTTTGGAGCTGCAGCTGAAAAGGCCTGACCACCAGAGCTGATCCTCCCTATATGCAAAATACGAAAGCTGCGTAGGGCACCCGAAACACCAGGGCATGGGCATTAGCATGAATGATAATTTATTTTAATGCGGTGCGCTGTCGCCCTTTCTACGTAAAAATCAGTCAAATCATGTAATGTGAATGTCGTACAGTCTTGCTCGAGACTAAAAAAACAAGTTGAAAGCATACCGAGCTGCGGAAGAGACACTGTTTCTCAAGCGCTTTCCGCGAGCGAGATCCGAGACGGAGTGAAACACGGACAAATGTGTTTCATTCATTCATTCAGAACCACTCATACCCTACTCCAACGTCGAAAAAATGGCACCCAAGGGAAGCATGTAAAGTGAAAAGGGAAGAGGGCCTAAAATGGACCCTTGAGGCACACCGCATGACAAGGAAAACGACGAAGAAGAAAACTTCCCAATGCTCACTGAGAAGGTTCTGTCTTTGAGGTAAAAAGCCAACCACTGCAGAGTGACACCCTGAACACCTACCACCTTTTTCAACCGATGTAACAGAATACTATGATCAATTGTATCGAATGCCACGCTTAAATCCAACAAAACAAGCACCGTATATGAACCAGCATCGTCACTGCTAACCTTCAACAATGCAGTTTCCATGGTGTGCAGTGATCTAAAACCCGACTGAAAAGTACCTAAAACATTGGACATACTGATATAGGAATTCAACTGACGATAGACAACTAGTCTGCATGAATCTCTCTCTCTCTCTCTCTCTCTCTCTCTATGCATTTATATATGAGCTACCTTTATTATTGATGCAGCCACCAGCTGTAGTCCCAGATTCCCAGATACCATTGTAGTGTGTAGTTGTCCAAATACATTTAGAGGAACTGTCCAGAAAATCAGGTCTGAGGCAACAAATATCAGTGTCTTCGAAGTTTTTGGTGAAGTCCTCCATTGACATCCTGCAGTAAAGTACGTTACTGAAAACATTTGATTCATGTTTAATGCAGTGAGGTCACATGTAAAACTACAGTTAATACCCACCAGAACTCCCCATCATTGGCCAAAGAACGACACTTTGTTTGCTCCTTCTCACTCACTTTGTTCCACAACGATGACCTGAAAGTTATACAACAGCGTATTAAAATATTACATGGGCTTGTGCTACATGAGTAAAGAGTAAATAACAAGTAATAATGAGGAAATAATATAGCAAATAAAGCTGAAAATCCTGGATATCCATTGAGAGTATATTTAGGTGAGTATTACTGCAAATAGCTATATTTTACCTTTTCATCACTTAAGAAATGAATATGCTTCTTGTGTATTTTATGTTAGTATTTCTCTAAAAGATTATAGCTGGCTTTTCAATGGCACCAAAATAATAAGTCTACCATGCTGAATACCATATTCATTTATTTTTATTGGGTTATTTTTTTCCACAATATCACAATTTTAATACATTTTGAAAAATTGCACTACTGGGGTTTTGTGTGGATGCTGCCTTTTTTGGCATTTTGCAAAATTTATTACAAAATATATCAGGTGTTCTTTTTTTCTTTTACTTTTTTCTTTCTTTTATCAAAATAATAATAAAAAAATTAAGTCATGAAATTGGTCATTGCAGTCTTGTTAATCAGTATTCACACTAACAGAGATTAAATCGTCAAGCGCTGTTGGTTTTTCATTTGCCTGAAAAACCAACATCAAAGTTCCATCACCAACGGTCACTGTCATTCATATCACCGGAATTTGCTAACTCTCATTCATTGAATGACTATATGAATTAATGACTTTCTATTGTCTTTGTGACAGGTTGCCTTTAGTCAGACTTTTGTAATAGGCTTTCCTTTTATCAAACAAAAGCAGTGACATCATTTTTTTGGTGGGGAAAAAGTACAAAAGCACAAACATCGATTAGTTTTAGGAAAAGAGTTGTTGTGAGGTTTTGTTCTGTAGTCTCCTTAAAACATTCCAGTCTGTTAAAATGACAGAAATCTGTATGACAATTTCAAATATTTTTAAATGAAGTTCCAAACATATAATCAAAGCCTAATCATTCGATCCTGTCAATCATTATTCAAGCGTATAATAAGCAGCAGTCACTGGGCCGTCTCAGTGACAATTCTTCCGGCACCCCACAAATATAATATCTATATAATATGACGAGGACGTCATGATGAAGATGTACTGTGTAGCACGACTGAGCCATTCTATTAAGCTACATTTAGTTTTAAAGATCTACTATTTATAAGTTAAGCAGCTAACTTTGTTGTTTAGCATACTAAAAACCTAATACAACTCTCAAACCTCGTCAAGAATCCAAGTAAGAAAATAGTCATGAATTATCCAGTGTTACAAACAAACAATGTCACTTGATCAATGTTGTGATTGGTTAATCTATATAGTTTTTTGTGAGTCTTACTTGTCACTCCAGGCACCGTTCCACTCGCCTCTTCCCCACGGATTCAACACTCTCACCAGCCTCACTGGTTTTTCTTGGCATGTTACCTGTTACATCGTGACATGTTATTCAAAACTCTTCAAACCCTTATCGTGGGTTGCTACTTATTCTGGATGTCACCTAAACTCAGAATAGGCCATAGGTATTTCACCAGGATCATTATGAAATATCCTTTTACCACAGGACTGAACTGTCTGTACACAATGCTTTGAGGACAAACATTATTTAAAAAAAACTGTTCTTGCAAAACCACAGACTTGACGTAACAGGGATGAATACAAATGTACAAAGGACATACCAAAGTGTGGAGCTCATCTGGAGCCGAGGGCAATTAGTAAATAAACACTGGTGTACGCTATTACAACAACATTTAACATCAGAACAAAGCGTGCCTGTTGTCGCTAAACACCTTTTTTTGTATTATAAGCCTGTCGATATGGATGGATTATTATTATATAATAACTAACTATTAACTATGAAAATCAACCTCATGCTTAATGAAAACATTCCCATTACATGTGAAAACAGGTTCCAGAACAGAGCCTTGAGGGCGCTACTTGGGAACGCAACAAAAAGTAAAGTGCAAGAAGTTTTAAAACAAAGTCTCAGTTAAAATGAGTTAAAATGATTGAATTAAAAATTGTTGATGGCGAACAAACTCAGAAAAGATTGCAGTTGTCAGACCTCTAGATGGTGACATTTCTAAAGGGATTCAAGCTTTTTTTGTTATGGAATTGTCCAAGGAACAATTACCAATCTACCTGTATTTATCAATCATCTAAATGTGTATGGCCACTGACATTTTCATTTTTCCAAATTTTACCTTAAACACATTTCTGAAAGGAATTGTGAAAAATGTCAAACGTCAAATATGCAAATGGTTGAGAATAAATTGCTTAATTCTGAATTTTAAGAAATTAAGGGATGTGTTCCTTAAAGCAACGCTGGAATGCAGTTGATCTAACTTGCTATTAAAAACTTGGGTTATTTTAAAAGCTATTTAATCTGATGGTACTGTGATCTGACATTTAATTCTGTGCAGACTTACCTTAAAAACCCCCGTCACTGTATATGCGTGGCCTTGAACAATACCATTGGGTAATACATTCTCAGATGTTTCCTGATATGGTTTGAAAAACATACATATCATATTAGTAATGCTGCCAAAGTGAAATATGTAGCAGGAAATTTAAAAAAAAAGATTGTTTTATGTATTACATTGTTGTAAAACATTTTACTGTATTCATTTAGATTTAGTTAGACTTTAATGCAAAACCTAACAAAATTCTTCAATGACAGTGACTTATATGTCATAATGATAATATCCATTACAGTAATTAAAGATCAAGCCTGAGGTCACCACCTACCCCCTGATGGGAGCCACAGGCCATCAGAGCCTTAGTTTTGGCTGCACGGTCCATCAGGTTCCACAAATCAATAGCAGGTTTTTCTAGTTCAAGGCACACGTGGACGCCACCAGTGAAGTCTAGCAGAGCTTCAGATACACGACCAGCATCCATGTCAGCATAGGAGCCGCACACCCTATAAAAGGTATTCTACATATCAAGTATATACTAAACATGCTGTTGAAATACTTACATTTTTGATGATTATAAAATGACTGTTATTTTTGTGACAATGTAAGATGGCAAATGCTTCCATTTGTAAAGCACCTTTAATATCAGGTTACATACAAAACATTTACTGAAGGCCATGAAGTCTTGGTGAAATCATTTAATAAATAAACAATCTGATGCATAATTTGAAGAAAAATAATGTTACCACAACATACTGGTACCTACTTGGCATAAGCTTTCTCCAGTAATGCAGGCCAAAACTCATTAGATGTTTTTGAAAGAACAAAAACAAGTTTGCCATCGATTGTTGGAAGTTTGTCATCAATGACCACGTCAATCCATTTCCCAAACCGCCAGAACTATACAAAATAAGCACAACATAAGGCTTAAGGGCTGATGTAATTTTAAACAGCATTCAGTTATACTTAAAAGACCAAAGAACTCACTCTGAAGTGGAATATCCCTGCATAATCTTTACCAAATGACTGGTCAGCTGGCATGACCTGGTCCATGATGTCCTTCTGAAATGTTAAAGCACCAACTGAAGCAAGAAACCAGCAGTTTCCTGAGGAAAAAAATGAGCAAAACTAGTGTTTCAATGAGTTGACCAAAGGCTTTCTGGTGTATATGCCTACTAGAAATACATAAATAAACATACCTAAATAAGATCCTTGGGAATAGTCAAACCGGGAGACCCCCTGTACAATGATCTGAGGGTCTGACACTATTTTCTAAAAAAAAAAAAAAAGATTGTGAAAATACAGAGAAACTTGGTCCAATGATTTGGGGATACCAGAAAAGGACATTTAAATTCAGAAAATGCACTTTGGGTCTGCTTTCAAGACACTTGAGATGTCTTCCCACAATTGTAAATCAAAAATGCTGAGAAATGTCTCAGGTGAACCTGTTCTGACAAGCCCTAAGAGACATTCTGCAGTGTCTTTACAATGATTCTTTCAAACAAGTTACTGAAGGACTGAAGATGGAAAGTGAATACAGGTAACTTACTGATGGTCTCAACCATTCGATTTGGTCCAGATCCAATTTAAGTTTGTTCTTTGGGTCAATGGAGCTGCTTTCTGGAGGGAACTTGTCATCAACAAATCTCTTTTGATTGGTGATGCAGCTCTTCTTCAACTCCTGGTAGTCCTGATCCAAGAATTTCAAAGGGTCGTCGAGAGTGCCCGTGTTGTCATTTGGTGTGGATTCATTCTTGGGTTTCTTGTTTACACGAGGTGGAGGCATTTTTTTCAGTTGCAAAAGTCTGTTTCTTCGGATAAACTATAATGAAAAACAGATGAAGGCGTCACGTCTGGTGATATGACACCACTATGTTAAGCTATGTTTTGTTTTCAAAGACCTAAAAGATAAGGGACTCTAGACTTGTTTGACTAGTTTGGGAGTGTATTCTTGCCCCTTTGAAAAATATATCTTGATAGTTATTCAGAGACATACAACATAATTAGTGGATAAGCAAAATTTTGAAGATATAGTATATTTTACCTTCAAGGATAATAACTTACCTAAATGAGCAGTCTTCTCCTACTAGATTTGATTACTCTCTTTGTTCTGCCCTATGGCTCTGGAATTCTGTGCTCACACTGAATGATGTTTTCAGGAAGTGTGCAGTGTTTTGTTCTGCACAGTACGTCACGGCACAGGTATACCATTGTGCAAAAGATTCCAAATTCCTCCCACCACTGTTGTATAATTTACATAACAATAAATTCCACCATGTATACATTTTACTCAACATAGAAAGATATCAATATAAGCAAATAAAAGCAGTTTGAATCTCAAATGTCTTACAATTAACTTAGAATGAAAAGTCAGTGTTTATATAATAGATAATTAATAAAGAAACTGTATCTGATTGGTCCTAAAAACAGTTAAAATTGTATGAGATTATGAAAATACAAAAACTCAAGCTACTGATTACTTCACAATCCTCATTTTCACACCTGAGGCTTAATATGAGCCCATAAACCACCTATGTATTATTTTTAATTAATATGTAGTTTATTTGTTCATATTTGGTGCAGAAAAGGGGATATCATGTATGTTCAGGTGTTTTTTTTATGGGAATTCTTATGAACATAAGACAAACAACATAAGATTATGTGACAGTTATAACAGTGTTATGAACTCAGTGTAGGTCATATTTGTAGTTTGGTTTCTTCGTTGATTTTCGTCTTCGTTTTTTGTGTGTGTGTGTTGTACAGGTGCATCGCAATAGACAGTGTCGGGGGAGAAAGTCCAGGCCTGGTCCTCTCTCCCCTGACACTGTCGTCACTCCTCCCTTTTATCCTTCCGGAGCTCCTCCGTGAGACTCGAGACCGGTGAGTGGTGCAGGTGTCGCTAATGATCAATTACTCCACCGGCCTTGCTCCGTTCCCATGGCTCTCGGCCCCGCCCCACTCGTCACAGATAGAATTAGCAAAATCACTTAACTTCTAAATACTGGCTAGGATACAGCAATGTATACCTTCCTTCTGCTCGAACAAACAATCAAATCAAACGCATAGTTCGTTCAACAACGATGTATAAAACAACCCAACACATTTGGTTAAACAAAGTGGCAAATTTTCTTACAAAATAATCAAACGCAACAAAACAAAGCACTTCCAAAATATGTCCAAAACGCAATGGGAATTTCCAAAAGATCCCGGACGAGCCCCCATTTGTCACGGCTTGTGTGCCAGCTATGACAATAGTAATAGAAAAAAGTAACTTAAAATTAGAAAAATAACCAGGTATAAAGTCATGAAATAGATAAAGTAATATGAAAAGAGATATAAAATAGCATAAATGAAGTACAAAACAAATGTATGTTTGCTTTCTTTAAACAATTTTTAATAGACATTTGTACAAACTCAAGCTGTTAGTTTCAAATGACAAAAATTATAAAACATCGGTGTATTCCTCCAAACCTGGAATTCTGAAGCATAGTGTGTGTATGCACGACATTCTATTTAGACCTATGTATTAAACAATGATTTTGAGAAACCCCATTTGTAAAACAGATGTGAAGTGCGATGTCTATATATTCATGTAAAATTACATGATCAGGGACTGAAAGCAACATTTTTTTTCCCTAAGGTTTTGCTATAATGTGACGAAAATAAAATAACTAATATAAAATCAATGCACTGGTGTCTTTCCATTCAACTGGTGTCCCACTGATGTTCCTTAATGATCTCATACAAGATTTCTAATTTCTCTTAAGGGATCCACTCTTTAAGAAGATGGACAGCATGAATTTTGCACACTCATTAGGATTTAGAGTGGATGGTACAATGAGATACTCTCCTGGTTCAAGCTTGAATAATTTCATCACATGTCTTGCTTTGGTAAATTTCTCAGTAGCTTCCACAGGACGTTTATTATAGAAGAACTTGGCTGGGAACGTCTCACCTTTCATCTAAAAGGGAATGAAATATAAACTTGTATTTACCCAACAACTTTATTTAGAGATACATATAGTTAATAGAGTAATTACATCTATGTATGTATTAGAATTTACTTGCCTCTGGTGGTATCTGTTAAAGTCGAAAATAGAATAATAACACACAATTAATATGTGGAAACAAAAATAGTTGTATCCTTTGACTTTTGATAATACTGACCGCAAAAACACTGAAGCCGATGGAGTAGTTAGAAACAAGACTTCTGTATCTGTTTTCATGTTTCTGCATGAGGGACACCAGTATGTTTTCAGGACACTGGCCTCTAGCACATTCCTCATCAAGAACCTCAATCCTCATCCGAAACTGAGGGTTTGTCCAGAAAGTCTCTAAAACACATCCAAAGAATCAGACCTTTGTGTTACACATATACACACTAAATCGCCAAAAGTATACACACTCAAACATTACACAAATATGTTTACTTGTTGAACATTTAATGGTTTTCAACATTAATAAGGCCCTCAACATATTAAGATTACACTCACTCCTCACTCGCTCTCATTATAGACATGAAATACCTTTAATACTGGGGCGGCCACCAGCTGTAGTCCCAGCATCCCAGCTGCCATAATAGCATGTGGAAGTCCAGCTGTATTTAGAGGAACTGTTCAAAAAATCAGGACTGAGGCAACAAATATCAATGTCCCTGAAGTTTTCAGTGAAGTCCTCCATTGACATCCTACAGTAAAATATGTTACTGAAAAAAATTTATTCATATTTAATGCAGCAAAAGATCAATCTGAAAGTACAATTAATGCCCACCAGAACTCCCCATCAATGGCCGAAGAACGACAATTGGATTGGTCACTTTCACTCACGTTGTTCCACAATAATGACCTGAAAGTAAAAAAAAAAAGCATATACAATAATAGATTGGGTTTTGTTATAGCACAGTAACTTTGGCTGTGCAGATATCTCTATCCAGTGGTGTGACTGAGAGTATATTCTCTACCAGGGATATAGCACTGGAAATAAAATTATACCTTTGAAGCTGAATATATTTTTGTAGTAAATAAATATCAAATGTTAACAATTGCACAGCAAGGATTGATGGACTGAGAGTTAGCTTAGATGAGTGCGTCAACTTAAAGTCAATTTTAATATTAACCATCTATTTAAATGTTTATATTATAATAAATACTTTTTTATTTTAACAGACTGGAATGTTTTACAGTAAAACATTACATAAATAAAAAGTTTTTTTTTTTTGTACTTTTTATTATTTAGTTAAACTGAAAGTATTATGTTTGTACTTTTGGTCTTTTCTCCCACCAAAACAATGATGTAATTTCCTAGAAGATGATGTCACTAATGAACTGGCTTTTGTTCACGAAAAGGACAGCCTATTACAAAAGACTGACAAAGACAACCTATAAACAAAAGACAACAAAAGCTGTCTTTTGTTGCCAGGTGAATGCTGGCGATATGAATGACAGTGACCGTTGGTGAAATAAAACAACAAACACTGTTAGTGTGAACGCCTTCTAACAGGACTGTAACTCCATATTGAAAATATATAAGAAAAAACTATTCTAAACTGATTACCAATTATTAATTAGCATACGTTTCATTAGCAAAATAAAACAGAACAGAATATTTTCAAATACATTTTAGACTGTGTGGACATGACGTCAAAAATTTGCAAAATTTGCCCCACTGTTCACTTATTTGTAGGAATAGTATATAGTAGGAATGACCCATGTAGTTAAAGGGATAGTTTACCCAAAAATGAAAATTCTGTCATTAATTACTCACCCTCATGTCATTCCAAACCCGTAAGACCTTCGTTCATCTTTGGAACACAAATTAAGATAGCACCATGTGCATGCGTTGTTTACGTGCAGGATACTTTCCAAAACACTGAAAATATATATATATACTAAAAAAAATTTAAGGTAAGGTTGCAATCAATTTATTTTTTATTAATTTACAATTTAATTTATTAAACAAATTTAGTTTACTAACTTTCAGCAAAATGTGTTTATTTAAATGTAGCTAAAATAAATGGATTGCAACCACTTACAATGAATAATTTTTTTTCAGTGAATAGCGCTATAGGGTGACGCGGAGTAGAAGAATTGTTGAATAAAGTTGTTATTCTTGTTTTTTGGCGCACAAAAACTATTCTCGTATAGCTTCATGATATTACGGTTGAACCACTGATGTCACATGGACAATTTTATCGATGTCCTTTCTACGTTTCTGTGCCTTGATCATGCTAGTACCCTTGCTGTCTATGGAAGGTCAGAGAGCTCTCAGAATACATAAAAAATATCTTAATTTGTGTTCCGAAGATGAATGAAGTTCTTATGGGTTTGGAAAAAGGGTGAGTAATTAATGACAGAATTTTCATTTTGGGTGAACTATCCCTTTAATGTTAGTAAGCTAAGCTTAGTATAGACCCAAAATAGTATGCAAGATTAAAATTAGTGTCCCACAACATAGTATGCTGAAATTAGTATCCTAAAGATACCAAGGCTTTCTACTATTTCCATGCACACTTATATGGCTAATATAGCAAAACCTCTTGCGCTCTGGAGGAGAAATCGATTCAGGACTATGAACACAAAAATAAAAAATAAAAAAATAAAATCTCTCGAACATGGTATTGGTGAGTTGCTTAAACAGGTTTGCAGTAAACATGAAATTAAATTAAACGTGGATTCCAGTGACAGGATGCACATACAGTTATGCAACAAAATGGTTTTGCAATGTGATAGTGTGTCACAAAACTAACCTACTCTTCTGCTACACAATCAAAAAGTAAATATTAGTAAATATACAATGACACTTCATACATCAATTAGTGAGTTTCATTTGACTCTTACTTGTCACTCCAGGCACCGGACCACTCGCCTTTTCCCCAAGGGTTCAACACTCTCACCAGCTTTACTGGTTCTCCTTGGGATGTTACCTGTCAAATTCACATACTTTCTGTTCAAAATGCTTATAATGAAAGTCTATGAACCCTTACTGTGGGCTTGTTACTTTTCTGTAGAATGTCAGATTCTACTGTCACAACAGCACTGACAGCAGTTCCGATCCCAGCCTTCATAGAAAGCAGCCACCCATTTGCCTATGCTCAACAGCTCCATGATTATTAGCTATTACAGAAGGTTCCAACGCTCACTGATGCTTCAGAAGGAAAAACGATGCATTAAGAGCCGGGGGGAGAAACCCTTTTGAATTTGAAGATCAGGGTAAATTTAACTTATTTTGTATTTTGGGAAACATGTAAGTATCTTCTGTAGCTTCTGGAGGGCAGCACTAAATGAAAAAAAAAATGATATTTAGGCAAAATAAGAAAAGTGTACACATCTTCATTCTGTTCAAAGGTTTTCACCCCCTGGCTCTTAATGCATGGTTTTTCCTTCTGGAGCATCAGTGAGCGTTTGAACCTTCTGTAATAGTTGCATATGAGTCTCTCAGTTGTCCTCAGTGTGAAAAGATGGATTTCAAAATCATACAGTCATTGCTGGAAAGGGTTCAAATACACAAAAATGCTGGAAAAACAAAGAATTTGTGGGACCTGAAGGATTTTTCTGAAGAACAGCAGGAAGTTTAACTGTTCGGGACAAACAAGGGACTCATGAACAACTATCACTGAACAAAAAAAGCACAGCTGTGGATCATTCAGGTAACAACACAGTATTAAGAATCAAGCATACAGTATGTAAACTTGTAAGTGGGGTCATTTTTATAAATTCAACTATTATTTTCTCTTGTGGACTATATGTAAACATCTTTTATGTGAAATTTCTTATTCAGGCCAGTACTAAATAAACAATACCAAGCATTTTGTATGATCCCTCTTATTTTGGTAAAATAATTAACATTTTGCCGATTCTGCAAGGTGTATGTAAACTTTTGACTTCAACTGTATGTCATGAATACTGTATGAATTGACTGTATGAATCTTTGAGTGGTTAGGGATTAAGTTGATTCGTACTAACATTTACTATAACCAAATTGATGGGCTGGTTGAATAAATTAATCAGACATGAAATATATGATTTGTAAGTTTAACAGTAAGTTAGAACTTGGGATGCGGCTTAAGTTTGTTATTCACAGTCTGAGAGTTTCCTCAAGCTTTCACTGGGTTTTACCCATTTGAGCTGTTCTATGGATGTTAACCGTGTTGTGTGCTTGACATCCTTAAAGAGAACTGGAAAGAGGAACTTTCAAGAACAAAATTTAATAATTGCTGGACATAAGAGTAAAGCTCCACACCCTGGCATGGCTAAAACAGAAGAAATCGCTCCAGGCCCATGAACATCAAATCTGACTGTATAAGAGGGAAACTCAGCTGTAGGAATTTGCACTGGAAGACAAAGCATTTGTATTACGCCCACCACTGACCTAATTACATGACATTTAAATGACATTTAATTCTGTGCAAACCTACCTTGAAAACCCCTGTCACTGTATATGCATTTGTAAGTGGGGTCATTTTTATAAATTCAACTATTATTTTCTCTTGTGGACTATATGTAAACATCTTTTATGTGAAATTTCTTATTCAGGCCAGTACTAAATAAACAATACCAAGCATTTTGTATGATCCCTCTTATTTTGGTAAAATAATTAACATTTTGACAGAAGAACAGAAGAACAGAAGAAACAGAAGAAATCGCTCCAGGCCCATGAACATCAAATCTGACTGTATAAGAGGGAAACTCAGCTGTAGGAATTTGCACTGGAAGACAAAGCATTTGTATTACTCCCACCACTGACCTAATTACATGACATTTAAATGACATTTAATTCTGTGCAAACCTACCTTGAAAACCCCTGTCACTGTATAATATACTTTACCTTCTAGGATACGACGACAACTCTGCGAGTTCACCTAAATGAGCAGTTTTCTCTTTCGACTGATTCTTTTGTTCTGCCCTAGGCTCTGCAGTTCCATTCTGACCGAAAGCTGTTTTTAGAAAAGGGCGCAGCATTATGTGTAAAAGGTTTTTCCTCCCACCTGTAAAACTGCATAACAGTAATTACCACCAAAAATAGCCCTAAGTCTGAACATAGAATCTTGGTAAACCAGCAGGCTTAATGTTGTTTATATATAAGTATTAACAAAGAACCTGCATCCAACTAATCCTTAAAAAAAGGTACATTTATACGAAATCATGAAAATACAGAAGCTCAAGCTATTGATCTCTTCAGTTATTTTCCCACCACTAAATTCAGTACAATCTTTATTTTAAACCAGTCATATACTGTATTTGCATTGATACCAGGTAAGATCAGGTGGTCCGAAGTACAATCAGTTGAACATTACTGTTCAGTATTACTATTAGCAATTAGAAAGTGTCACATCTGCCTCTGTAATTAATAATGATCCAAATATTTAAATACAAACATGAATAAGAATCTAATAATTAATAGATTAGCTTCAAATCTCAACAATTGCAATTAAAGTCAAAGTATGTCTGCATCCAGATGTAGCTCTTTAGTTACTAAAATCTGAAGAAATTCTGAAAGATTCCACTTCTCCACTGTACACTGCAACCACAACTTTGCTATCTCTAATGCGTAATGCGCTCAATAACCCAGAATAACAATGGCCAAAACGGACCCTCCTGTAAAAAAAGCTGCAACAACACAATCTCATGTTTAGTGATACTTTTCTAGCATTTTCTGAAGGTTTTTTAATTATTTAGCATCAACAAAATGCTTTTTGTTAATTTTAGAAAGTTTATTTACAGATCATCACACTCAGTTTAGCATTCTCTAAATCGGTATGTAAAAAAACACATTTGAGATTTTTGCCAGTTAACACACAGAACCATTCACTTTATTTTTGCTAGTTAACACACACAGAACCATTCACTTTATTTTTGCTAGTTAACACACACAGAACCATTCACTTAAACCTGTTTGTCTGCAAAGACACATAAGCTCACATTAAGGCCGACCTCCCATACCACATAAAAAGCACTTAAAAACAGTTTGTATTCATATGGTTCAGTGTCAAACATCTGACCAACAACACCACAGTCCATTGAAACACAAACACATCCTCGCCATTTCAAACAGAAGAGCAAATAAAGCCATTCAGTCGACTCTTCGCCGCAGGTGGAGAATGTGAATGTCAGGACTGTTGAACTCAGGGTCTTGTTTCTCAGATGGGATCTCCTCTGTCTGGAATTCTTGCAGAAGTAGCTGTGAAAGAGTATTTGATGAAGAATAAGATAACAGCAGATTTAGCATGGCGATGCATTTAACTGGCTTTTAACTCATACAATTAAATATATATAATCTGCATACCATTACTTGGAGCTAAAAGACCAACTGGTCTAATACACTCTCATTAACATGTGCCACTAAATATGACAATGTAACTATTTAGTGTTTTACAGTTTGATTCTCTTACCTCAAAGAATCTCTTTTCTATTTCAGGATTTACACCAACAGTGCGCTGCTCATAGCAACAGATGATACACGTCTCTGGTCCAGCCAAGAGTTTCAGAGTCTCCACCAGTGGCTCCACAGACTGTGGAGTATACAACACTGAGGCTATTAAACCTAGTACTGTTAATTATTCAGCACTGCAGAGCTAACTATTGCTGTATGGGAACACAGGTTTAAGAAAAATGAAATAAATGATTGTGTAATATTCATTGTTACAGTACCTGCTCATAGTAGATACAATCAGCCATCAGAATATAATGAGGAGGAGGTAGAAATTCTTCGACATCTCCTCCCCTTTTAAAAGGAAAATGTTTCATAAGTTGTCATTATTTCATAATACATTTTCATGAAATAAAAAAAACCTTTGGTAACACTTTATTTTATTCTCGCTATTTATGTACTAGTTGCTTATTAGCGTGCATATTACAAGCATACTGGCTGTTTATTAGTATTTAAAAACCACATATTAATGCCTAAATCTGTATGACCATATTTTAGATCCCTTAATCCGACCCCACTTAACAACTACCTTACTGACTATTAATATGCAGCAAATTATGAGTTTATTGAGAGAATAGTGAATATGTGTTCCCTATTCTAAAGTGTCACCATAACTTAAATTGTACAAAGATATTTTTGTTCCACTGTAGAAAGCAAATCATACAGGTTTGGAAAATATAAAGAAGAGTAAATGATGACCGAATTTTCATTTTTGGGTGAACTATGATCATGGTAGCTATAATGTGGCCAACTCCATAGCTGGGTCTCAGGAGGATATATATATATATATATATTATAAGAAAGGAAACACACCCCTTCCAAAAAAAGGTCCTGTAGGATAAAATGTAGTACAAACCATTTCAGTACCTTGGCTGTGATTGAGCCTGTATGGATGAGATGCTGATTTTTCCTAATGTTTAGTTGAAGGAGAAGCTGCAGGTCTTCCAGATCTGTCACTGTGACATTTGCCCTATGGGTGCACATTATTAAAATACTTTTAAATCAACCACATGTATGAATAATATTTATTAAGAGGAATTCATCAAAATCCTAATTTTCTTAAGTTGTTCATTATGGCCATTTATACATCTTATCGGTTTTAATTTAATAGAGGAGTTCACAGGGCACAGCATTCATAACTCACCCCAGAGTTGCAGCCACGAGACCCACGAGTCCTGTTCCTGCGCCCAGTTCAATAATGTTCTTCGAGGACCACGTACTAACAGCAGACTGAACACAGCTGAATTGTTCCGTTTCGAGGTATTTTGACAGGACAATAGCAGCGTCCCATACTACACAGCCCACGTCCCCTTTGCTGCACTGATACATTCTTAAAACAGAGCCGTCATTTTTCTCTATTTCCCGAACAAAATAATCTTCCGAATCCTCGTCAGTCGCCATGTTCTTTCTTAGCTCGCTGAACACTGAACATTCCACGTCACGCATCTGCGTGACATCTGATTCGCGCTTTTTTTCTTTTCTTTTTTCTTCCAACTAAAAGATAGAATGGACTCATAATACTGGTATGAGTATTTATGTAATGTTGGGTATTTTAGAAAATATTTTAAGTGTTTTTTTTTTTTTTCATTTGTGGTCTGGTGGTATTTTACTTAAATATCCAACATGAAAATAAAAGAAAATGGACCTAGTTCGTTTTTGGAAGCCATTTGCTATAAAATGCAATTGTAGTAAGTCAGTCGACTCTAATTTGAATCGTTAGAATTATGCTATGTGTACTAATATTGGCGTATCTACAGTGTTATTCTTTATCAGAGTATTTTTTATTGTTTATTATTGTTACATTTAAGTTTATAATCTCCGCAAACAACAGAGGGACCAAATAAAGTTTATTGAGTTCAGTGGCGTATAAAATTTCCCGAAATGCTTGATCAGTAGTAGCACATAATTTACAGACAAACATAAAAACTAGGCTAGTCTGTACGTCACGCATCTGCGTGACATCTGATTCGCGCTTTTTTTCTTTTCTTTTTTCTTCCAACTAAAAGATAGAATGGACTCATAATACTGGTATGAGTATTTATGTAATGTTGGGTATTTTAGAAAATATTTTAAGTGTTTTTTTTTTTTTCATTTGTGGTCTGGTGGTATTTTACTTAAATATCCAACATGAAAATAAAAGAAAATGGACCTAGTTCGTTTTTGGAAGCCATTTGCTATAAAATGCAATTGTAGTAAGTCAGTCGACTCTAATTTGAATCGTTAGAATTATGCTATGTGTACTAATATTGGCGTATCTACAGTGTTATTCTTTATCAGAGTATTTTTTTATTGTTTATTATTGTTACATTTAAGTTTATAATCTCCGCAAACAACAGAGGGACCAAATTAAAGTTTATTGAGTTCAGTGGCGTATAAAATTTAGTAGTAGCAGATAATTTACAGACAAACATAAAAACTAGGCTAGTCTGTTGCAAGCTAGTGATTTTAATACAGCTGCAGATGAGAGTTTTAATACGTACCACAAAGTTAATACATATTTGTGACACGTATGCACGGTTTGTGATTGCTGTAAATTATGCTGTATGGATTTGTTGTTGCTGTTCTTCGATATATTGTAGTTTTATATAAAGCCGCTAGAAGGCAGCGCAGACAGTTTTTGTTTTATATATTTTTTTTTTTTATTGCTTAATGTACATAACAAGACAGGGAACAACCAACAATGTAAGACACTTCCATTGAGACTTACACAGAGTTTACATTAAAGAAGAAGAAAAAAAAACATCAAAAATAAAGAAATAAACACAAGGAGCAAGGATGAAAACAAAGATGTAGTCGATGTAGACATTATAAAGAAAAAAAGATACTAACGTAATAAATAATTTGACAAAGAGAAGCATAACTTTTCAGATTGTCTATTATGTTTTTTGAAGCATTTGAAGCTCTGAAACATTTGAGCAAACTCACATAAAAATATATTGAAGGAGGGTTGACTTTTTTTTCCATTTACAAGTATGGATATGATATTTACCCATCAACAAAATAAAATTGAC